GTTGAACTATATATATATAATAATATATATAATATATAATATTTATTTTCTCTACTTGCTAGAGCAATTATAATAATAATAAATAGAAAATCAACTCTTAGTTCAACTAAAAGTCTATCGTAACAATAATACCGCATCGTCATTTAACCTGATAAAATATTAGAGAAACAATATTAGATCTATCTAGGAAGTAACACCTACACCGACATATTGCACCAGCACGAAAATGAAACCGATGACATCAGACTAAATAGAACCTAATGAAATTTACATGTTCACGGCGTCGCAGAAATTCACTTGCGTCGAAAATATCCCCGTAAAATTCGAGCCACGCCAACACGTGGAACCATTAGAATGACATTTACTTTCGCCATCGATTCGCCGGTAATATCGGCGAGAGCGTGATGGTGTCAATGTGCTTGTGTCATGCCAGACGCAGTTTCTTTAACGTGCCGAGAACCGGACCAAGACCAAGACCGAACCTAACCGAACCGAACCGATTGTGTTCCGGGAAGTCATCGAGACGCAAGGATGACTTTAAATTACCACACTCGTGTCATCGACGCGAAGTGAAAGTACCGTGCACGTTCCATATTACTAGATAACCTTGAAGATGACGACGACAGTCGCGATAAGAAGCAATACACCTCTTACGGCATTTCGGTTTATTCGATCGTAAAGTTCGATACCCCTTGTTCGCAAAACAACAATCGAGAGAATCTGCGCTCTGTAAAAGAGATCGTATTTATGCGACGACGTTTCGTGTATCTTTTATTCGCGCGAGATGAAGGATTCTCTAAAAAAAAAAAAATCGCCAGACAACAAGTACAACGTGAGAGAAGCGAAACGTCAATGAACCCTCCGGAAACATTCGGATCGCTAAAAGTGACATTGAACGTGCGTGCTTACTTTAATTCTCGACGGTCACCTTTGAAGTCTTCTGGGATGAGAGTGTGCGTGACCTTGTTGATCTTTCTGGGCAAGAGTTTATTTACGTTGAACTTGAACTCCATCTCGGCGATGCGGGGCTTCCGTTGTGTCCTAACCACCGATTAGCACGCGTGTCGCGTTTAACAACCGACCCCTAACCTACCAATGCTCCCTGTCACTGCACGGACTTACCACCTTCCGAGTGTTTTTTCGAAACTGTGTCTCCCGAACGAATCTCCTGAATATGGCGGTCAATGGCACCCACCGAGGCAACTTCACTGCGTGTTTTCCGGTGAAATTGCCAATAGATTTCCGTGTCACTCCGTTCTCGCTCAAGATTATTCGCGTCGCCGCGAGATCTGGCCAATCGTGGAAACGACCCGTCCGTTCGCAGCCTGTCACATTCGCTGTCACGTGTTCCTGCTATGATATTTCTATTTTCGTTTACGAACGGCTCCGTCGACTCGCGATTATTCTATCGGCCGCGAAACGAAATCCGCAAACCGTCTGCTAGAACACCGCGCGACAAGAATCAGTGACTCCGTGACGATAATGATAGTCCGCACGAGACGTTGCACTATTTCTCGAATCGATCAAGTCTCCGCAGACCAGACGTTCTCCGCGGCTTCTAGCCGACTGATATCCATTGGTCCCGCGTCGTCGCTTTTCCACTACCACGGTAGAGATGTTGGGAGAGGAGTTGAGCGACATACACGGCTTCCTATCGTTGACAGTTTGACAGCTGACCGATGCATTCGGCGAATCAGCTCCGAAGTATTAACCTCAGAGAATGTAATTGTTTGCTTTTGTGTATGTCGTGATGCATAGGCCGAAAATGTTCGATGACGGGGGCACTAGGGAAACGAAATTTAACGACGACCAAGAGTTTCACCTGACGAATCGCTGGAAACCTCTCACAGTTTACTGGCGAGCGGTACGTTCAATTTTTTATTGAAAGCCGCGAGTCGCGCCGAGATGCGCGCGCAGACTACAGCCGAGACGCGTGATTATATCGCAACGCGCATGCGTTGAGACTCTTGCTTTTTCCGAAAATGATAATGAACATTTGAAAAATAGCGGTATTATTGAAAGAGGAGGAAATATTTGTTTTTTATTGCTCGTACAATGTAAAATCGTTCTATGAATAAATTGTTAATGATAATATTTCATAACGTATAATAATATTTTAACTTATACCAGCATAGTGATAGTTTGTAATGTAATTGTAACAATTATAAAACTTTATCTTAGCTTTCTGTTAAACAAAATTAAAATTTATTTCTGTAAAAATAAAAATGAATCCTTCCTAATCCTGTTAGCGGTCGATATAGTTTTCTTTATGAGCAACAGATGTCGACAAAAGTAATGTCAAGGCATAGACAAGATAGAGACATAGACGGAGTACCTCGTCTGAGTATGTAGACCCTATGCCATATGGGGTGGTTTCGTGTCACGTGTTCTGAAATACCGACATCGCTGAAAACCGGAAATCATCTCGCGCCCATTGCCAAAATAGAACAGTCTAGTAGAGAACTACGTAAGAATGCAGCATAGAAATTTCGTTTCTACTATGAAAATTCAGAAGAGATCGCACAACAGATATCGTATCTATGATTATCTGTAACAAAATATTATTTTATAAATAAATACAGTTTTACACCTGATACCAATACCTAACGTCTCATCTAGAGATGTTCTACATTTTACAAAATTTTGATTTACAATGATGTAAATTTATAGAAAACTAAAAAGACGATGTTAAATTTATATCTTCGTACATATTATATTTAAACAGCGACAATTTAAATTGACAGCAAACCTTACGAGATATGTATCTATTATTCCAGTAATACAGTTTTAACTTTTTGAGATGATCAAACAAATTGAAATAGAAATGAAGAGAAAACTTGAAAAACAAAGACATTCTAGCTTCAACCTACCTATTACAGAAGTATGAGGTAACATGTATTTTAATATTATTTAAAATTTAATGGGATTTATAAAGATGAAACGACCAGTATGGAAACTAAAATTTCTATAAAATTCTGTTAAAAAGTAACCAAAAACAAGTAAATAATTTAATTAACCTGACCCGCAGCGTTATTAAATGTATTTTATATGCATATACAGGGTGGTCCACCTAGACAAGATCGAGATTCGTTATGGAAAAAGTTGCTGAAAATCCGCATGTTAGTACGCGACAATTGGAACGGATAATTACTATTTCCAAAACAAGCATAATACGAATACTTCATAAACAAAAATTTCATCCGTATCATGTGTCTCTCCATCAGAATCTTCATGGACAAGATTTTGATGTATCGATGCGAGTTTAAAAAATAGATCCGTAAAAAAGTCTTACAAATTTCATGATAGGGTTTCGTGATAGTAAACATGTTTATTTACACTTACAGATTCCCGAACGACGTCTTCGTCTCTAAAATCTCGATGGACAAAAATTTGTCGTTCCCATTTAATTTTTGACCTTGAAGGTCACTTGAAGGTCATATAATGTACATAACTAAACATATTTTTACATTAGCTACATCACGATTCAATAAAAAAAATTATACAATTATACGAAGATAAATATCGATGACCTTGCAAACTCCAAAAAAAAATTACCTTGGGAAAAAAATATTTTTGCAATACGATGGTTTTTACAAACCATTGAAGTAGCATAAAAAATTTTTTTTGTACCCCCGCAATTAGAGAAGATATTTAAGTGGCCTTATTTAGGTGGACCACCCTGTATATCTGTATACACATTAGTATTTCAATTTTCGGCATTTGCCGCACATATACTTCCCTTAATTTTTCGTTTGGAGGTATCACGATGTTTCTAGTATGCGTAACGATGTCGCCACTTCCGGTTACTACGTAACAACGATCAAAAGAGACTAATTTTATTCTACCCTCTGCAGTAATCTATTGATTTTATTCATGATAAATTCTAAAATTTGTGGAATGGATTTTTGATAACATTTCTATTAAATATTTTGTAAAACATTGTTACGCCATAGTAACGTACTTGATAGATTGTTCCAGAGGATGGACAAACTTCCGGCGAATGCCTTCTAGAATCTTCAAAGCTCGATAAAAGCGTCCGCAGCGCAGCAGTATTCAATACTTTGAACAGTGACAGCGTGCGAAGCTGATTGTCAAAAGCAAGCAAGAAAATACGTTTATTCATAGCAGTTACGTACGAATAATTGTGAACATTAGTGTGTGAATAACGTTGGCATAGTGTTTCTCGGTTTCAATATTATAATTTATATTCTATTAAATAAGGACTTACTTTTTTTAAGTAAGAAAAATGCCGGAGAACGTAGCAATGGTTGAAAGCGAAGAAGTCGAAACTTTCGCCTTTCAAGCCGAAATTGCACAGTTAATGAGCTTGATCATTAACACTTTCTACTGTAATAAAGAAATTTTCATTCGGGAATTGATCTCAAACGCGTCTGATGTGAGTGATATATTTTTGTATATTCAATTCTGTCATAAATCTCGACATATTCAAGTTCGAAATTTTGAGTTTAAAAATTAAACCGAATTTATGAATCATTTTTTAAATATTTTATAGAAGTCATTAACAAATTCTGATTACTTTGTTGCAGGCTTTGGATAAAATCCGTTATGAGTCCCTCACTGACCCATCAAAATTGGATACATGCAAAGAGTTATTCATTAAAATTGTTCCTAACAAGAATGATCGCACTTTGACCCTTCTTGATTCGTAAGTATTACTTTAATTTCTTAATTATTAAAAATTTTGTTTTTAATCTTAATTTGGAAAAAGAAAGCGAATTATTTTGTGTTTTACTTTTGTAAAGGGATATTCATATGAGTAACCATTATTTATTTTTTTTTAGTGGCATTGGTATGACCAAGGCTGACCTCGTGAACAATCTGGGTACGATTGCCAAATCGGGAACAAAAGCATTCATGGAAGCTCTCCAAGCTGGTGCAGACATTTCTATGATTGGCCAATTTGGTGTGGGTTTCTACTCTGCCTATTTGGTAGCAGATAAAGTTACTGTCATTTCTAAGCATAACGAGGATGAACAATACTTGTGGGAATCTTCTGCTGGTGGTTCATTCACAGTTCGTCTAGACAATGGTGAACCAATTGGAAGAGGAACAAAAATCATCCTACATATCAAGGAAGATCAGACAGGATACTTAGAAGAATCAAAAATTAAGGAGGTTGTAAAGAAGCATTCTCAATTCATCGGTTATCCAATTAAACTAGTTGTTGAAAAAGAGAGAGACAAAGAATTGAGCGATGATGAAGAAGAACCTGTAAAGGAAGAAGAGAAAGAAGAGAAAGATGAGAAAGATGAGAGCAAACTCCAGATAGAAGAGGTTACAGAAGAGGAAGATGAAGATAAGCCAAAAGATGAAAAGAAGAAAAAGAAGACAATTAAGGAAAAGTATACTGAAGATGAAGAGCTCAACAAAACAAAACCTATTTGGACACGGAACCCAGATGACATTACACAAGAAGAATATGGTGATTTCTACAAGAGCTTGACTAATGATTGGGATGATCATTTGGCTGTCAAGCACTTCTCTGTAGAAGGCCAATTGGAATTCCGTGCATTACTATTTATTCCTCGTCGTGCACCATTTGATCTGTTTGAGAACAAAAAGAAGAAGAACAATATCAAGTTGTATGTACGTAAGGTCTTTATCATGGACAATTGTGAAGATCTTATCCCAGAATATCTGAATTTCATCAAAGGTGTTGTCGATAGTGAAGATCTCCCATTGAACATTTCTCGTGAAATGTTACAGCAGAATAAAATTCTTAAAGTTATCAGAAAGAATCTCGTTAAGAAATGCTTAGAACTCTTTGAAGAATTGGCAGAGGACAAAGAAGACTATAAAAAATGTTATGAACAATTTAGCAAGAATTTAAAATTAGGTATTCACGAAGACAGTCAAAATAGGAAAAAGCTCTCAGAGTTGCTGAGGTACCATACATCTGCCTCTGGAGATGAGATGTGTTCATTAAAGGATTACGTTGGTAGAATGAAAGAAAATCAGAAACATGTCTATTACATTACTGGTGAAAGCAGGGAACAAGTAGCCAACAGTTCATTTGTAGAAAGCGTTAAGAAACGTGGTTACGAAGTAGTATACATGATAGAGCCTATTGATGAGTATGTTGTACAACAACTGAAAGAATTTGATGGTAAACAGTTAGTTTCTGTTACGAAGGAAGGTTTGGAGCTTCCGGAAGATGAAGAAGAGAAGAAGAAGCGCGAAGAAGACAAAGCCAAATTCGAAAATCTTTGCAAAGTCATGAAGGACATTTTGGACAAGAAGGTTGAGAAGGTTGTTGTTTCCAACAGGTTAGTCGATTCTCCATGTTGTATTGTCACATCACAGTATGGATGGACTGCAAACATGGAGAGGATTATGAAAGCACAGGCTCTTAGAGATACCTCAACTATGGGATACATGACTGCTAAGAAACATTTGGAAATCAATCCAGATCACCCAATCATGGAAAACTTGAGGCAGAAGATCGAAGCAGACAAACATGACAAGTCTGTTAAAGATATTGTTATGCTCCTGTTTGAAACTGCGCTTTTGTCATCTGGTTTTGCGCTAGAAAACCCACAAGTACATGCATCCAGAATATACAGGATGATTAAACTTGGTCTTGGCTTTGATGATGATGATACACCAGTTGTAGAAGAAGAGAAAATGGACACAGAAGTTCCACCGGTAGAAGGTGATACAGAAGAAGCTTCTAGGATGGAAGAAGTAGATTAAAATTATTATTTAAAACTATTTGACTAAATCCAAAGACTTATAAGATGTAGAAAGACTGTTACAAATAATTTCAATTTAAGTATTGATCATGTTCTTTTTTATTTTGTTTTTTCTTTGTTGATGTGACAGAATGAAGTGTCATGCTTATTTTAATGCGTAGCAAAATCTATATTTATTTAATAAATATGTCTTTAGGTAGGACCCTGTCACTTGATTCTGTCTTAAAATGTGTTTGTATCATTTTCATGTCATTACATTATCGCTGCGAATTTCTTTTGTACTGATTATAATATTTAAAATTCGTTTCATATTATCATCATTCCATTTGTCAAACCATCATGTAGTGTAATAACTAAACTGATTGTAAACAAGAAATAAAAACACTACTTACTGGTTTAAATAAGTGTAATTACCCCTTCCTTTACTAACACGAATTATTTTGAAAATTAGATTTGTAATGTTAATAATTCTAACATTGTCTCCGAATATATTAAAATATTTTGTAAGATATTTTCATGTATTAGGAATGTTATATATAATAAACGTAGACCTTTATTCAAATCAAAATAAAAAAAAGAGATCTATATAATATTATTTTGAGAAAGAAAATTATCTATTTTTGTCTAAAGAACGTAGAAATTATTTAACACGTTGACCGCCGCGTCGATCACTTGTGGGTGACACTAATTTTTGACCAATTTGGAAAATTCATTCTCATTGTAATATATTCGTACAAACTGAATTTGACCAGAATGTTTCGGATGCGAAAGAGTTCTAATCTCATCCACTATGATAAATTTCAACCTTCTAGGTTCGGTTTAATTAATTAAATTGCTTTGACTTTGTGGGAATTATTTTAGCGGGCGATTGTCGGTGCTGAACGTAACCTTCGGAGGACGAACTTCGCAGAGGACATTTCTGGCCCATAAAATCTTGCATAAACAAATTTTTATTGGCATGAAAGCTGGGTCTCAAGTGACCCACGTTCGTCCTGTGAGGGCTAAATATGTAATCCTAGTAAAACACTATAGCAAAGGAATGTATTACAAGGAATACAATAAAGTTAATATCAGTTTTGAAGTAACTTACTTACTAAAATTATAAAGATGCAAAATAAAATTTTATTAAATTGACCTTTTCAACTTTGTTTATAGTCCAATGAAAACAGACAAATTTTCATTGTAAGTTCCGGAACTTCAACGGAAGTTTCGTTTCATATAACTCAATACAAAGACACATACATTTATACATAGATAAAGATACAAACACAGTTACATATATTATATAAGTATTTGTCAGGTATATAAAAATTCCCTTTTATTAGAAACAGTTGCCGTGTAAGCATAACAGAATTAAATAAACACTGTTTTGAGCTATCTTCTCATTGAGGTATTTATAGCTCTAACATTTCCATGATATACGCGTATATAAATATAAACATACCTTAGAGTTAAAAATACATATTACCCATAAAAAAAAAAGTACAAGACATTTTTAAACATGATGCCACACGAGGAAAAATTACGCTCGTACCTGCGTACGACTTCATAATTAGATTATTTAAAATGCATACATACAGATATTATATACATATTTTCACGTTGCGACTATTTCTGCTATGTATACATACTTTTTATCACCATTGATTTTCGAATAAAAATATTTTTCAATAATTTATAGTAAAAAAAATTCTTTACATAGTAACGTTAGAAAGATAAAGATTTAACTGTATTATTTTATGATAAAAATATTTTAACACTTTTTCTACTGATCAGGGTATACTTATTGGAAGATGACCGATAGAGCGCGACACTGTTGTTTGTCGAAGTGTTGCGTGTGCCACATCACCACCAAATCAAACGTACTTGGACGATGTTTCTGTGTAGATTGCGCTCGTGCCGACTCCGCCACAATACGTGGAAAGCGTGAGTTTCTCTACTCCGAACCAACATGTCAAATTTTTCTTAAATTTCTGACGAATACTTACAAGGAAAGCGAAGACTTGTGCACAGAAAAAAATCTGTTCATCGTATAATATATTTGGGAAGGTATTGACTGGAAAATTATAGATTTTTTTTCGGTGCTTAACGTAGTAAACGAGTAACACGATGAGCGCACCCCAGGGGCAAGTGAAACCAAGAAACGGAGTAGTGAAACAGGTGAGGCATCTTGAATTTTACAGCAATCCGTTTCTCAATAAGGTTTTCAGGCAAAAAGAAGTATAATTTATGTGATTACTGTTACATGTAACCTATTATCTTGAAACCATACGATGTATTCGACGTAGTTACAGCGAAAGATCTATACCGAAAACATATGGTCCTTGCATTAAAGTATTTTCGTTCTATAGCCAAATTTTCTCAATAGTCCAGCATAAATAGGCGAATAGATGCTTATCACGTTCCCAGAAACGTATTTCGTAACATTTTTAATTATTACCGCTTAGCATATTCTTCGGATTATGTTGTTATATTTTTAAAAATCTTAAATGCAATTTATTCATTCAATCTTCTATGAAAAGTATTAAATTGCAGGATGCCATGCTATTATCTAATAAAGTATAATATTATGAATTTAAAATAAATTTATTTATTACTCTCCTCAATGTAGAATTTGATATTTTAAGGTTACTTCAGGAGATACCATTGTTATACGTGGTCAGCCTATGGGTGGCCCGCCACCTGAAATTACCATTATTCTTTGTAACATTACTGCTCCAAAATTGGAACGGTGGAAAGGAAATGATAGGTACGTATCATTATTTTATAATTTTGTATAAATTTGCTACAGAAATTCTAAACGTTGTAGCACTGATGAAAGCAGAGACGAACCATACGCCTGGGAAGCAAGAGAGTTCTTGCGTAAGAAGCTTATTGGCAAAGATGTAACCTTTGTTGCAGAGAAATCTATTAATGCAAATAGAACTTATGGTACTGTGTGGTTAGGAAAAGGTATGTTAGCTTCAGATATGAATTTATTTATTACTTGTTCAAATTCATTAAAAGTTAATATAAAATTTTGTACTTACAGATAAAAATGGAGAAAATGTAATTGAAACCTTAGTTTCTGAAGGTTTGGTAAATGTAAAAAAAGATACTCGAAATCCTAGTCCACAACAGACACGACTCATTGAACTAGAAGAAATAGCTAAATCGGCAAAAAAAGGAAAGTGGTCAGAATCGCCAGGTTCTGAGCATATCCGTAATGTTAAGTGGACGGTGGACGACCCACGAAAATTAGTTGAAAAATTTGGAAAAAAGCCGGTGAAGGCTATCATCGAATTTGTTTTCGACGGTTCAACAGTTAAAGCACTTTTGCTACCAGATTATTACAACATAGTATTAATGATATCGGGTGTTCGATGTCCTGGTTGGCCGAATGGACGGCGCGAAAATTCGGCAGGAGATCCTTATGCAGATGAAGCAAGATATTTTGTAGAATCGCGTCTTCTACATAGAGATGTCGAAATTGTGCTTGAATCAGTTAATAACAATAACTTCATTGGAAGTATTCTACACCCAAAGGGTTAGTATTTATTTTGTAATTGATTTAAATACATAAAATAATTAGTAATTCATTGCGTCATAATTAACTTTTTATGTTTTTTTTTTATTTTACAGGTAATATCGCAGAAATTTTACTGAGTGAAGGATTTGCGAAATGCCAGGATTGGTCAATTAGCAACAGTAGAGCTGGTGCAGAAAAACTTTATCTTGCAGAAAAAGCTGCAAAAGAAGCGCGTCTACGATTATGGAAAGATTATAAACCATCTGGGCCACAAATTGAATTTACTGGTACCGTGGTTGAAATTGTGAACGCGGATGCGCTTATAATCAGAACACAGAATGGTGAAAACAAGAAAGTCTTTTTGAGCAGTATTCGACCACCATCCAGAGAAAAGAAACCGAATGAAGAACCTAACAATGCTGGTAGAAAAGATTTCAAACCTCTGTATGATATCCCATGGATGTTAGAAGCGCGAGAATTCTTACGTGAGAAATTCATTAGAAAAAACGTCAAAGTTGTTGTGGATTACACTCAACCTGCCAGAGATAATTTCCCAGAAAAATTGTGTTGCACTGTTACTTGTGGTAAAACGTGCGTTATTTTACTTTTACTTTTTCTTTTTAATTTACTCTTGAACCATTTGAGCAATTGTTATTCATTTTCGTATATTTTTTATTCAGAAATATTGCAGAAGCCTTGGTTGCACGAGGCTTAGTGCGAGTGATCAAGTACAGGCAAAATGATGACCAACGGTCATCCCACTACAATCTGCTACAAATTGCAGAAAGTAAAGCAGAAAAATCTCAACACGGTTTACATGCAAAGAAGGATATCCCTGTGCACAGATTAGTAGATGTATCTAATGATCCAACCAAAGTCAAGTCATACTTGACATCTTTTAAGCGAGCACAGGGCATTAAAGCTGTGGTTGAATTCGTGACGAGCGGTTCTCGTCTAAAACTCTTTTTACCGAAAGAAGATCAACTTATCACATTTGTGCTGGCTGGTATTAGAACACCTAGATGTCAAAGATCGCTTCCAGGTGGTGGTATAGTTAAAGCTGATGAATACGGTGAAAAAGCATTGGCCTTCACAAGAGAACATTGCTTCCAAAGGGACGTGGAAATTAAAGTTGAAAGTACAGAAACGAAAGGCAGTGGCTTTATCGGATGGTTGACTGTAAATGATCAGAACATGTCTGTTACTCTTGTCGAGGAGGGCTTAGCAGAAGTTGTCACCTTCCCTGATTTTGGAGAATTGACCAGGACCCTTAAAGCAGCTGAAGAACGTGCCAAAACAAAGAAGTTGAATGTAAGCAATTTAAGAAGTATATACAATTTAAAAATACGTCGTTTAATTGATAAATCCTACATTCGCTACTACAATTGTTACAGATTTGGAAGAACTATGTTGAAGTACAAGTCGAGAATGAGAAAAATGAAAATGACAAAGAAGTTGTGGAAAGGAAGATAGACTATCAGGAGGTAGTAGTTTCTGAAGTCAATGGTCTTCATTTTTATGTGCAAAAAGTTGATCAACGTAGTATGTTGGAAACCTTACTATCTCAACTACGACAAGAGTTGTCGAATAACCCTCCCCTTTCGGGTGCTTACAAACCCGTCAGGGGGGAATTAGCAGTTGCCAAATTTTCTGGCGATGACGAATGGTACCGGGTCAAGATTGAAAAAGTCTCTGGTTCAAACGTTAGCGTATTTTACATTGATTACGGCAATAGAGAAATAGTCAATATTTCAAGACTCGCCGACTTGCCATCTCGGTTTGCTACCGATAAACCGTACGCCCATGAGTACGCGCTTGCTTGTGTTGCACTTCCAAACGATGTAAGTGTCCCTATAAAAAAATTAAAACATAATACGTTCTTACAAATTTCTAAAAGTAGTATAACCATACGTTTTTAACTATTTACAGAGTGATGATGCGAAAACAGCAATTGAAGCGTTCAAGGAGGACGTTAATGATAAGATTTTATTAATGAACACAGAATATAAACTTAGTAATACTAATGTTCTTGCTGTTACATTAGTTGACTCTACTACCAATGAAGATATTGTGAAAGGTCTTATTACTGACGGATTGCTGCTCGTACAGAATCAACGTGACCGAAGACTTGTTAAATTGGTTAATTTCTATCTTCTTTATGTTCTTTTTTATATTTGACCGTATAACATTGCGCTAAGCGTATAAGAATCGATTATCTCTGAAGATATTGAAAACATAAAAATTAAGTGACGCAGGGAGATTAATTATTTAGTTCAAACGAATTAAAATTAAACATTACTTAATAATTATTTATTCGAAATTTGATATAAAAGAAATTTGTACATAAAAATTTATTTATACTTTTCAATACTTTCTGGTATATTCTATTCGTATATATTTAATGCGAACACACTTTACAGGTAATCATTTATTTATGTTTTACATCATTTTAGATCGAAGAATACAAGAAAGCGGAAGAAGATGCGGAACATAGTCGACGTAATATTTGGAGATACGGCGACATACGTGAGGATGTAGGCCCCATTACAAATCCTTGAAACAGTGGTGAGGGCGATGAAACATAATTTGGATTGTAAAAATGCTCAAGAATTGGTTTAAAAGTGATTAATACAGGGAAAAAGACATCATGTTATAAAATACATAAATATCTAAGAATCTATCACATAGATTTACGAAAACTAATAAATGTCCATATGAGAGTTATACGTTGCATTGATTATGATGCAATTATATTTCATTATATAAAAGTATGAATTGTACATAACAATTTCATTAATTTTGTTACTTTTAAACGGTACAGTGGCATAATATATAG